TGAATGGGAATAGATAGAACACTGCCTTTATATTTTTCATGATTAAATACATTTTCACTGGTAACCAACAGTTGTCACTGACGAACATCTCACAGCAACAGACATTTAAATGATTCATTTAGTTTCAAGCAATCTTTACAACATTGTATTTTTGGAGAAGAACTCTTTAAAATAGAAAAATGTATTAAATGAATTAGGAATTAATGACAAACGGGCTGCATTCAGAGAAACGGGCAGATCCAGGATTTTTTTTTCTCAATCTTTAACGTGGCAACATCGAGATAAATGAAAGTGGCCGATCTGCCTTAGTGGACTCGTGATCTCTGAGCCCCCTTCTAGCTTATTACTGTCACCATGACACCAAACATCTCTTAGCGTTAAGGAAGAACATATTTTAATCCAATTCACAATCTCATCAGGTTTGTTTTTGCCTAAACGTGACGAAACCATGACCATAACCTTAACTGAGTGTTTATTATTTTAACCACAACGACCAAGCAATTGTTGGTTGGCAATCCTAGAAGATGCTCCTGTGGGTGGTATTAGAGAGAAGGTGTTAATGATGTTTGTGGTCGTCAGGTCGGAGAACGTGTATGATGAAGGCAGGTCCGGTTTCTGTGAATCCACATATCTCCAGTAAGTGGCTGAGATTTGCTGGGTTTTGATCCGAGCAGAGACATAAACGTCCAGTTCAGAAGCACAAATGCATTCTGCAGACAGATCTGCATTATGAATCAGTGCCAAAAGATTCAGTGCATTCGTAAATTGGTTTTAAACTCTGTCGTCTGTAAAATCCTTTTAACTTAGACATCCAAGATCTTTGTGGCGGAGTTTTCTCTTTAAAAAGCGTCAGCCTCCAGAAGACAGAAACCATAAAGCATGCTTTTAGTGTGTGAGCAGCTGTAGTTAACATTCTCTCTCTGGCCCTCATATATTGCACAGGTATGTCAGCACTGATAGAAAGATATATTGCAGCATCTGGAATTCGCAGTTGTAATATGGTATAAGTGAGGAACAGTACATGTACACACACACACACACACTGAGCAGGGGGGGTTAAGAGGTTTGTATGGTCCGTTTAAACCATTATCAAGTCCAACAATCTGTCTGCAGTTGGATTTCACCCCGTTCACTCGTTCCTCCCTCCTCTTTTCTCTGCTCGCTCCATCTATCCACCCCCAGCAAGCTCCGGCTGCTTTCATTACAACCAGATTGTTCAAATAAATCAAGCCTCTCCCCCTCCCCTGCTTTCTATTTTTTCTCTCTGCGTCTCTTTCTTTTCTCTCAGCGCCCGACAGCAGTCCGTGTGGAGCAGGGACTCTGAATGAGAAGCACATTTCGGGGTTTATGAGGGTGATGGGCTGTGAAGTTTGGGTTTGTTTTAATTTGGGGGCCTCGCTGTGGCTCCTTTGTATGGTTATGTACATACTGACTGTATATGTCGAGGTTTGAGTTGTAATTTTAAAATGAAAGCCAACTTTGATCATGTGGGGGACCAGTCGCACCTTTACACTTGCAAACACTCATAGATATCATCGTCAGCCATGAATCTTTCCTCCTGAAAGTGGTGATGATGGCCCAAAAAACTCTGCAATGCTAACGAAGAAAAAAGTGTTTCACCTCCTGAACGGGATCCGCACCACAGTTTAATGTGTTCCTCCCTGACCCACACCACATCCTTCCACCCAGTTTGGTGGAAATCCGTTCAGTTGTTTTTGTGTAATCTTGTTCACAAACAAACGAAGCAACCAGCGAATGGACAGAGGTGAAAACATAACCTCCCTGGCCGAGGTAGGAAGTAACTTTCCATGGAGAGTTATGAGGATTTATCTCAGTGGTCTAGTTCTTAATCCCCCTCCTCCTCCACGTTTATTCCAGTGAAGCCTCATATACCTTTTTTTTAAAGGAGACATATTCTGCTCATATTCCTGTTCATCATTTTTATTTGGGTTATTATTTGAAAGGTTTACCCGTTTATGTTGTCACGTGACATCACAATGATAACGAAGTATCGGCCGGACTCCTGATAAGGTGTTTCAGGAACAGACTTTACTCCCTTTCCTGTACTGCGGACTTTGGGGTCTCGAACTTTGCACATATGTTAGCAAAAACAATAACACACAAGAGGAAAGACAAACTGAAAAAGCACAATACGTCTCCTTTAAGGGATAAACAGTCGCATGTCAACAAGTCAACTCCACTGTGATCTATCGTGTCTGTGCAGTAAGTTTAAGACGGAATATTGTTGCACAAGTCGTTCAGTGTGCACGTTGTGTTCTTATGAGACATACAACATGACACTGCAGGAAACTGTCCTGAACACTTGTTTGTCACTGGATAGTTTTTCCAGAGAGTATTTTTCCAGCTTCTCGATGAATTCCTTTCACCAACACGCTGATCCGAGAAGTGGTCAAAAAAATGTTCCAGACTCAGTCACAAACACTCCGGTTGCTCCGTCTGAGTTTCCTGTTCTGTCGCTCTGTGCTATTCTGACATTTTACAAGCTTTATATCAGTGTTTATGTACGCTGCCCACTGTTCTGCTGAATCCTAAAAGAGGAAATCACTTGCCGCCTCAGTTACAGTTTGCCATCCAACACCACATCCTTTCAAACTGGGTCTTGTTTTAGTAAACGCATAAAACAACCAAACAAAACTGTTGATCCCACAGTTATTTTCTGTGAGGTTCAGGATGATAATCTAAGACGTCTGCCCTCTGAGTCTGAGTGGCTGCATCAGTCCTCCAGCTCTTACAAACAGTTTAATCTGCTCCATGAATATATATTTGGTTATCTGACGTGAGCAGGAAGCTGCATCTGATGTCGTAACTGCATCAGGTTCTGTCTTATTGCAGCTTGTTCATTATCTTATGACTGAATAGGGATACATTGGAAACCAGGCCAAAGTATCTTGATTGCCCCCTAGTGGCTGGCTGCAGTGCAGGTCATGAATTCCACCTCCTCCATGTGAGCAGATGGGACATGAGCCAACTACACCAGACATAACAACAACAATAGCGTCTGAATTCATCAGCATGCTCACAATGTTCTCCTCAAATTTTTGATGGACCGTTGATATACACTATATCTACTCACTGGCCCGGATTTGTCTGTTTTGTTCTCTTTTCTGGATGAAGAGGAAAATATCAAATGCAAGAAAATATCTGCTGTCGTGTAGACGAGGCCTGAATCAACATTGCTTGAACGAGTGTGTCAGTGGGACCTTGATGCCGTGGCCCCAGCTACTACTCTGCTGACCCTGGTTACAGATCAACGGTGCAAGATATCAGCGTTTGTATCCTGGATATTTTGGCTTCATTTGCGGATAGGAGGAGGAAGTGGAGACATGTCACCTGATATGATCCTATAATGGAAAACACACTACACTGACAAATAAGAAACAAAGGCTACAGTGTCACCACTGCTGCTCATGGATTGTAAGTCTTCCTCCACTCTCGCCCGTGCAGCTGTGTAACAATCCAGCACGAAGCACAGCCCTCGAAAAAAGCAGAATGTTGTATTTATTAGTATAATAGCTGCATACTGTGTATGTGTCACTTCCAGGACTCTGGTATTTTTATCACAGCTCTGTGTTACAGCCTGGACTGAGCGACACCTGTGTTCTTCCACGGTCCGTCCGTCGTTTCAACCATTTGTGTTAAAAAAAGCAAAAGATCCACATCACACTCAAACTACACTGCAGCTCCACATTCTTTTTTTATCAAAGCAGACATACCAGAGCAGTGAAGTCACCTTCGTCTCCACTCAGTTTGCCATGAATTACTGATCAGTGACACAACGCTGGAGCAGGAGTGTTTATATCTGATTCAGAAATCTAAACATTCACTCTATAGAAAAGATAAGCTAGATGTTAACCAGATAAACCAGATATTCAGATGCATCTTGTATTCCTCCCTGTATAAGTTTGGTCTCGTGGTTTGTTGTGTGTTTTCCTTGCAGCGAATTGTGGAATAGGGTGTAAGAAAAATGTAGAAGTTGAGTCAGCAAGAAAGCAGCCACCGGCAAAAACAGCTCAGTCGTCTCATCTGGAAACTGTGTGTAATTTTGTTTTGTTTTTTTCCACTGGCATCTGTTTTTGGTTATTAGCGGAAAATACAGCAAATGACCTCCATCCTCACACCAGCGTTACGTTATAAAGTAATCAGGTTGTGGTTGAGGTCAGTGTGTGTGTGTGTG